TGAAGTTCCTGCTATCCGATGAGGGGAGCCATTCCCAAAGCCTGCCCTGGACACTGGAGAGGAAAAAGGCAGGATTTTCCAGTTCAGTCAGTTCTGGTAAACAACTGAATCCAGGGCCTGCAAAGCTGGAACCTACTTGCCATAATTCAGTCACTCCAGGAAACAGGAGAGCTTTTAACTCTCCCTAAGGTGGTGGGGGCTGTGAAGAGTAATGTATAAATATAGGGAAATACAGAATGTGTGTATGAGAGAGAGGTCGGCATGGGTGTTCAATATAGGTAGATATGGGGGGCTGACTGTGGGAGGGAGAGAGAGGCAAAGAGGTAAGAACAGGGGTGTTTGTAGATATGAGGTGGTTTAAAAGAGAGGGGGTGTATTTATGCGTATAGCTCAAATATGTGCATAGAGAGAATGTCTCTCTGTGCTTATCATTTTATGAAGGCCCTCATGTCTGCCTGCTTTAAGATCAGGTGGTGGTGGACTTACCTGGTTTTATAAAATGAAAAAAACAAAATGTGAAAAACATTTAACGTGGCCCAAATTGTCAAGCCAGAGAGATTCTGATTGGTTAATCGAGCTATTTAGCTCATAAGGCGGATATATTTTAAAAAAAATATTTTAAAAAAAAACAACCCATGACCTTGAGTATCAAAAAAAAAAAAAAAAAAAAAACAAAAACCCAAACCCAGATTCTAAAAAAAAAAAAAGCCATGAATACAGTCAGTCAGGTTGCTCAGCTGATGTTCACAAAAAGGTTTCAACTTGCTAGATTAAAGACCTCTGCAAACTGTAAAGACAGAGAGAGCATTTAGAAATGCCCCTGAGGTTTTCCGTTAGTCTGCAATGGGCTTCGTAAACATGCCAATAAATACAGGGGAGAAGAAAAAAAACTACAGAGTAACAGACACAGGTTTTCAGTTGCTCAATTTTTTGCATCCAGGGCTGCTGCTGCTGATCAGTGGAGGAAAGAGAGAGTAAGAGAGTGTCATTTTCTTGCTGAATATTAGGCTGTTACAAATATCTCTGGGGAAAAATAATCTGGTGGAGGTTGTGGGGACGGGACTGAGTGCACCCTGAAGTTACTTTGGAGCCATCTGAAATGATGCCCTGGTCCGTAATAGAAAATTAGCTGGATTCACATTTTCCCAGTGGTTAGGTGAGTATGGAAGTCTCTCTGCTATTCTTGAGGCTGAGGGTGATACAAAGATTAAAGGCACCACAATCTGGTCTTGGTTGCACCCCTGAGTAATGTGGAGAAACTCCAATGAGCTCCATGGAGTTACTCCAAATTTAGGGCCAGCTTCTGAGACCTTTACTCACACTGAGTAGTGTGAATGGGGCTGCTTGCAGAGTAAGGTATTACTCAATGGAAGTGTGGCAAAATTGTCGTAACTGAGTTCAGAATTTGGCCCCATAACTGATTTTAATTTCTCTCCCAGGTAAATAGATACAGAGTCTGCCTGTTTGTTTGGAAGCTGTATTTGTTAACTCTTAACTTCTCCCTCAGATGAATTTGAAATCCTAGTGGCAATAAAGGAAGAACACACTGCCACAACTGAAAAAACAAATTGTTGTGTTACGCCCCAATTACTGGGAAGGTCTCCGCTGAATACATATATTAAAGTAACAAAGGAAAGGTACGTTTGTCAGATCAAAGATTAATGGTTCTATCTGCAACGGTTTAATGCTATTGCAAATACACTCAAGCACGGAGGATGTGGTGTATAATTAACGACTCTTTAGGCTGTTAGGAATTATTTCTATTTATCTTATAAGACACACTGCTCTTTGTTTTCACCGTGATGCACGCTTGCTTTAGAGCACTGGACTTCACCTCTCAGAGGCATTGCTTCTGCAAGAACAAAATGCGGAAACTGCTTTAAATGTTTATAATGATCTTGGTTCCAAACCCCTCGCTGCACATAATGGAGGAGGCTGTAGCTTACTTCAAGGAAAGTTCAGTGCCTTGAGCAGCTTTCAGGTAGCTGTGGAGATTTGTGGGCACCTTTATTGAGTGGTTCTTAACACCACCGCCCCTCCCCCACACCAGCCTTCTATTTCCCAACTCACATATGGACTCCCTGTTTATACAGATGCACCCAGAGAGAGTATCTCTAGGAGCAGAAATAATAGTCCTGTCCAGATTCTCTCAGAGTCTCGCTGATACCTAGAGGGTGCAAAGCACTCCTGGATATCAGGGAGCAACCTTCACAGCAGATGCAGAAGAACGATTATTCTGAAATGAATGTTGTACGAACAATGCCTTTTGTTTTTAATGGGAGGTTCCTGGAAGGTAACTCTTGGAACTGGGATGGGAGGAGCACACTTCGATTTGGGGCGGGGGAGCCTGGGTGGTACTGCCTCTCCCCTCCGTTCTGTCAGCGCCCGAAGATGACTTGTGAGAAGGCAGAGAGTGTGGCTTGGTGGTCAGAGCTGGGAGTGAGCATTCCTGGGTCTGCCAGGCCCTTGCTGTGTGACCTTCGGTTCGGCTCTGTCTAGGCTCCAAGGGACAGTGATGTCCTGGGGCAGGGAGCAAGGAGGGGCTTGGGCTGTGTTTGCAAAATGCTTTAAAATGACTAGATGACAGGGGCTATGTAGACAGTGGGCCAAACTCTCTGATGGTATAGATTGGTCAATGCCCTTGGTGTCAGTGGAGCTGTCAGTTTACGCCAATGAGAATTTGACCCGAGCATGTATTTACTTGGTCCCTGTTCATGTTCTGAGTGCAAATGCTGCGACTGGTGATTAATGCTTTCAGATACTGAGGCACTGCAAAGTCTCTCAGCAAAAGTAGGCAGGGATGGAAGCAAACACTGCAAAAGCCAATTAGCCCTACCCGAGTTGCTCAGAGTAACAGAGGCCCTTCTTCCCATCTGCCCAAAAGCTGGGCGAGCTCTGTGGCTGAACCCTGGCCAACTGCCTGACTTCCGGGACAGAGTCCTGTTTTGCTGAGCGAGCGCCAGCTGAGAAACTGGCCTTGCCTTTGCAGCTGTGGCAAGGTGACAGATTTCCCTGTTGGAGGGACATGGTGGTTGCCTCGGTGGTTACTCTTTGCTTTGAAGCCTAACCAAAAAATCCTTTTCTCTAGAGAAATTTAATTTCTATTTAGGTCCCAATTCCACAAACTGTTCCAATTCAGCAAAGTCCATCAGTCTGTGCTCAATTTTAAGCATGAGTTGAATTCCTGTTGACTTTAATATGACTTTAGCATATGCTTAAAACTAAGCAGGTGTTGCCAAGCTTTGCTGAATAGAGATGGACTTAAACATGTGTGTCAGTGTCTTGCTGAACTGGGGCTTTAGGACTGTAATAATCTAAGTATTTTAGGCTGACAGGACAGGGTTTAGGGGTGGTGCAATTAGATATAGGTTAGTCAAATGAAATTACCATACACTAGACCACATTTTATTACAGTGCTGGTCACAACAAGAGTTATCTGGACTTTGTCCTCTCATCATATGGAAACCGTGCACTGAGTGTGCCCAAGAGACATTCAGCCCAGCTCCTTCCAGAATAGCTAGAGGGAAGCTCAGGCTTGGTGCACCTAGAATAGCTGAGACTTGCAGACCATGAGGGTCCCAGTGTGAGCCCTGGTCCTGGTTACACACAGGCTCGCAGTGCAGCTGGACTCAGCTTGGGGCTGTTGTTTACTGTAGAAGCGTAATGCTGCTATGCTTCCCCACAATTATCTAGCCCTCCTGCTGCCATTTAGCCTGTCTATTACAGGCATTAGTTGCATTTTGTCTTAAACTGGAGTGTAAATTCTTTGAGTCTGGGAATGTACCTTGCTCTCTGCTTTGTGCAATCCCCAGTGCAATGGCACCTCAATCCTGATCCGGGTACCTGGGCATGATGGTAATACAGATATCTGAGATTATTAATGGGCATTGCTGTGGGAAATCAGAATAGTTTTGCTCTTGGTGAATTTGCTGTCACAACCATCAAAGCTCTGGCGTTTCCATTCTCAGGAATTGGCATGGCTTTTGTTTTCCAAGCCTGAAAACTTCCAGGTAAAACTGGTCCCAAACCTCTAAATTTAGCATCTCTGCCACCTGAAATCACTGAATGTTGCATGGTTCCCACCCAAACCTAGACTCCTGAGAAGAGGGGAGAGCCGGAAGGGTTGGGGGAGGACTTGTGCCAGGAGTTTTCCCAGCCAGGATGATTATGGCATAATGAGGGATGCTGCATGTATCTAATTGGAAGTGCAGAGGCAAGAGGAAGTATGTTAGAGAGAGAGAGACGGAAAGTTTGGGGAGTCAGAATCTAAATCTAGAACTCTACAGTTAGAATCTAAATCCATTTTCATCCGTTATATTCTTGATGTAATTGTTTAATAAAATGAATTTGCTGGAAACTCAGACACTCTCTTCAGTGTTGCCAGCTCTCATGATTTTATTGTCAATCTTGAGGTACGTGGTGTATTTTCCTGATGCTCCAGCTCCTGGAGTCATGTTAGCTTGTAAGTCTATCAGCTTTCATTTACGTTTCTAGCCTTCATGGTTGTGGACAGAAGCTTGAAGATGTGACCCAGGCATGTCCCAAAGGTTCAAAACCAGATGGCAAAGAAACAGAACCCCAAACATATTATTTGGTTAAATCTCATGTTTTTTTAAGTCAATCTCATGATTTTGGGGGGGGAAACTTTTGATTTTATTCTTTTTTTTAATGTTTGCGGTTGGCAACACTGCTACAGAGCACCTGGCTCAGATTCTAGGCTTGTAGCACTATGCTGGCATGGTGTCCAGGTTGGCATCGTGTGACTCTAGCTGTTACTAACTGAACTGCGATAGTGGTTTGAAAAAACAAACGAACAAAAGGGAACAAAACATGTTCTGAATCTCAAGGACAGCCCGGCTGCAACATCCTGTCCTGTTGACTTTGTATCACTCCAGTTAACAGGAGCTGGGGTCTGCTGTGGATTGAATTTTATCTGCATGACATTAATACCGACAATAGGTGACAGCCACTTGCATAAAGTCTGTGTTGTTGTTTTTCAGGAGCCAGGCCTAAGAGAATCCAAAGGAACAGCATGGACAGTTTAGACCTCTTGAAGTTCCCCTCTGAAAAGGTAAGCAGAGGTGTCTGTGAGAGGAGGCAGGGAGGCGGGACAACCAAATTCACATTGGCTGGCCTAGGAGATTAAATATCAGCAGGACTCTATGATGGTTTATTGGATGACTTCATCTGCAGGGACATATGCAATTAGTAGATATCACTAGAGTCGCTGGGATTAACCAAGGACGGTTTCTAGGGAGCCTGGAGGAGAGGAACAGCTGATCGAGCTAAAAAAGGCACCTAATTGAAATTTGACAAACCAATGGCTACACTTTTTGGAAAACAATCCTTCCTGGAGAAGACCAGAGTTAACTTTAGACCCCATTGGCTCTCGGTGGCCAATCTCAGTCCGTTTTACTCTGGGACAGGGCTGTCTTCAGGGTGAATGTGGAATGAGAGGCCAAAGGCAGGAGCCTTCTCATTACCACAGGGTTTTGCTCTGTTAGTGCACTGAGGCTTTCCTGCCAGTGGCTTCTTCAGAGGAAATGTGGGGTCCGGGCATGTTTCTTCTCTGCTGTGTCTCTCTCTCGTGCTTAGGCTCGTGTCTGAGCCAGCTGGGAGACGCTGAAACCTCCCATCTTCGGGAAAAATTTAATTTTCCTGTGAAACCTTCCCCAGGCCATTGCCTTTCTTCTTGGGATTCTGCTGGCAATTATTGCCTTTGTCACGGGGTCAGGCCATTCCCTTGCCTTGTGGAGATTTCCCAGGCCAGCAGCAGTCTCCTTTGCTTTGAATGTAATCTGCAGTAGTAATTACCATCTAGATAGCCCTTTCCATCCATAGATCTCTGGTGTGTCAGAATTATCACCCCCTCCTCTTTATAGATGGGGAAACTGAGGCACAGCGCGGGGCTGTGGCTCACCCAAAGTTGCAGAGCGAGTCACGGGTCAGGTAGGCCTAGCAAGCAAAGACCAGATTTCCAAAGCTACTTAGGCGCCTAAAGATGTAGATGGGTGCCTAGTGGAGTTTTACACAAGTGCCTAACTCCCACTGGCTTTCAGTGGAAATCAGGTACCTAACCTGCTATGGGGCTTTTGTAAATTCTGCTCGAGTCCATCCGTGGGTGCTGGAGCTGGGGGTTCTACCGTACCCCCTGGCTTGAAGTGGTTTACAGTGGGTGCAGTGGCTCTCAGCACCCCCACTATGAAAACTGTTCCAGCACCCCTGTGTCCATCTGCACCTAAACATCTTTGTAAATCTGACCCCAGACCTCTCGAGTCCCCGACATGATAGCTGCCCCTTTAATTCACCCAGCCACTGACCGGGACACATCCAGCTCTGGAGCTGGACTGGCATGAATGGTGCCAGCCTCCGCCAGCGCGGCATCCAGACTGCTGTTCTGACTCAGGAGCAGTGACGCCCAGGCCGCGGCGCTGAGATCAGAGAGGCGTCTGAATGAGCATCCGAGGGATAGTTAGTGCTGAGTAACCTGATGGCCTTGGGGATTCTCTCGCTGATGTGTGGCTTGCTGCGGGCTTCAGTGTAATAGCTGAGCCCTCAGGCAGGATTATGAGCTTCCAGAGATCTTGCTGGGAGGCTGGAGTAAACGGGAGCTGTCAGCAGGCAGCGGCTGATTTCTCCCATTCTCCTTTAAGTGGCCCTTGAGGAGAGAGTGTATTTTGGTCTCTTCCTGGCAGCCTCTTCAGCTGCATTGTCCCTTCCGCTCTTCAGCCCACTTGATGGGAATGTGATTATAGCCCAGGAGGGGGGCATCCGCTCTGAGCTCCCAGTGGGGGAAGCGTGATCGGATTAAAGCTCACATCTCTGTCTCATCTCTTCAATCTCTCCAGCCCCTTTTCCACCCCATTGCCTAATTCTCTTGCCCTTTCCTGCGTCAATCCCTCCATCACTTTCACAGATTCATAGATGTCAACGCCCAAAGAGATCATCTAGTCTGATCTCCTGTATAACGCGGGCCTTAAATTTCAGTTACCCCTGTGGGAGACCATATCAAAAGCTTTGCTAAAGTCAAGATATGTATGCTGGAGGACGATAGCAGCAAAAGCGCTCCGTACTGCAGCTGACGTTCCAGCTGAACCAGCAAGTGCTAAGGCTGAATACGGTTCTTGGAGCATTCAGGTGCTGTGCTCAAGCGAAAAGCACAGTGCCGTGTAGCCCAAGGACTGGAAGCACTGAGCGTCAAACCCCTCCACGCTGCCCTGCACCGGCACACCCCTGTCAGCCTCAGCCACACGGCAGAAATAACCACGTGTCAGAGTAGACAGGCCAGTGAGGGATGGTTTGTTTGTTAGACAGGGAGAGGGAGGGAAGGTGGATGCATTTTGGAGGAGGGAAGTAAGGAGCAGGAGCCCGTGATTGGGGCGGAGGTATTAGTAGGGATTTTTTCTTTTAAAGCATGGAGGGTTGGAATGAGAGGAGCTTTATTTCCAGAAATGGAGGTTACGTGATCCAATGAGCAGGACACTGGACTAGGAAACTGGTTCCTCTTCCAGACTCTGACCTTCTCTGTGACCTTGTGCAAGTCACTTAGAATCATAGAAGATCAGGGTTGGAAGAGACCTCAGGATGTCATCGAGTCCAACCCCCTGCTCAAAGACGGACCAACCCCAACTAAATCATCCCAGCCAGGGCTTTGTCAAGCCGGGCCTTAAAAACCTCTAAGGATGGAGATTCCATCACCTCTCTAGGTAACCCATTCCCGTGCTTCACCACCCTCCTAGTGAAATAGTGTGCTGGGCTCCTGGAGGATGTATGTATATTATGAAAGGGAAGAATATCTCCCTAGGTGTGGAAGCAAGTGGATGGAAAGGGAGTGATTCTACTTCTACAGTAGCTGATTCATTTGTTGAGCTCTAAGGACCCTTTGTGTTTGCAAATCAGAGAGATGCCTATTACTATCTGTAGGGTAAATGGGTTTTTTCCTATCACAATTACACCCACTACGGATGGAATTAAAGTGATTGAATCAAATTTCTGGGGAGTTGCTTCAGAATGATTGAGTCACGTGCGTCTGCCTGACCTGGTAATTTCTCTCGCTGAGTAGTTTGAAATGTGACCAAGCTGCTGGGTTCTCCTCAGTTTCCTGAGCCTTAATCCCCGATAGGAAATCCTTGCACCCTGTTTATTATCCTTATTGAGCGCGGTCCATGTGCTAGGTGGTGTAGAGGAAGATACTGTCTCTGTCTCACGGGCTGCATCAGTGATTTATGCCAAGATGTTTGTGCAGGATTGTTTGTGCTTTCGCTACAAACGGGTGATATCCTTGAAAGTCCCAGTTCCCATTTGTTAGTTGACAGCACTCAAATGTTTTGCAGTATTGTTCCAGCAAGGAATCGGGCCCCTTTGGGGAAGGGGAATTGACCGACCTGAGCAGGCTTTGAAAAGCAGCTATAGAGATAGAGAGCTGACTGTCAGGAATAGAGAAGGCAACTAGGAGACCTCTCTAACGTGGTGGTTACCTCCAGTCACATCTTAATACGTTGTCCTGGGATTGCAGCCAGGCCTGCAGGATGGTTATCTATGTGCCTGGTAAATATAATAAATTACCGGTCTGGACTTACACACACATGCACACACACTCTGACAAGCTAGTGTAAGCTCGACTAATTTTGTTTCCTGTGAATGATACATCCTCTCCGGTAATGTATATTGTCCTCTACTAAACGGTGCATCAGTCACAAACTAGGGGCCACCAAATAAAATTAATAGGCAGCAGCTTTAAAACAAACAAAAGGAAGTATTTCTTCACCCAATGCACAGTCAACCTGTGGAACTCCTTGCCAGGGGATGTTGTGAAGGCCAAGAATATAACAGGGTTCAAAAAAGAACTAGGTAAGTTCCTGGAGGATAGGTCCATCAATGGCTATTAGCCAGGATGGGCAGGGATGGTGTTCCTAACCTCTGTTTGCCAGAAGCTGAGAATGGGTGACAGGGGATGGATCACTTGATGATTACCTATTCTGTTCATTCCTTCTGGGGCACCTGGCACTGGCCACTATCAGAAGACAGGATACTGGGCTACATGGACTATTGCTGGCTAGATACTGAACTAGATGGACCCAGTGTGGCCGTTCTTATGTTCTAAAACTTTCTATGCCTAACCCTCCATGACACCATCATAAATGTGCGATTGTGGCTTCTGATCTGTAAGTTAATTTCTTACAGATTCTAGGTGTAAACCCGCAATCACCACATTAAGCCTCAGCTGAATGATTTGTGCAATGACTGTTTCTTGTCCTCACCAGGAGCAGAATGGGGATAGCCACCACATGGGAAACCTGAAGATCACGGGAAAGGACTTCTTGTCTCTGCCCGTGAGATCCAAGAAATACCATGAGAACCAGTCCAATTCAGAGAGGAAATCCCAGGAGTCCAATATGTCACCGCTGGATGCCAGTGATGTACGACTCCAGGTGTCTCAATCGGTAGGAAGATGAGGGTTTGGGGGGGTTTCCAAACAGAGCTCTTTGAGCTTTTTATAAAATGTTCATTCTTGTCATATGTGTAGCCTGACGAGGCAGGAGGCAGTGTGGCCGGGGCCTGGATAGAACACTGGATTTCGGAGACCTGGGTTTTATTCCCAGCTCTCCACTGGCCTGATATGTGACTTTTGGCAAGTCAATTCACTGCTCCCTGCCTCAGTTTCCCCATCTTTAAAATAGGGATAATGGTACTGACTTCCCTTTATAAAGATCTCCTTTTGTGATCTACTGATACAAAGTGCTATGTAAGAGCTGTGGATTATTATTGTTAATAATGTGAATAATTCTTATGATGTGAAAGATCCTATGGTGGTTTTCCATTTGCTGTTTTTACTAGAGAGGGGACCTGAACTTCTCCTAAGTGTGGGAGTGTTAACGTGTGAGGCCAACATCTCTAACAATTTTGGCTGTCTCCGTCTGCAGGCCCCTAGCTTGATCCATGTGAGGATGCCTGCTCTTCCGGGGGCGGGTGCTCGCCACTTTGGGAGAATCAGACCCTTTTTAGGAGTCCCCACCTGAGTGTCCAAAATGATGAGTTGCTTTTGGAAAAGGTTGGCCCATTTTTTGTTCTGAGCCCGTCCCTAGGCTGGCGCTGATGTTCTCCTAGGGGCCAGAGCTCTGGGTAGGCCCTGGGAAGTAGCTGAGCATCATTATGTGCTGCTTCAGAGAGCAGGGAGGAGCACAGGCCAGCCCCTCCTCTCTGAGGGCTCGCAAGTGACTGCACAGCACAGTCGGCAAAGGAGCGCGGCCGTGGGGAACAGGGAATAGACACGTTGGTGCCAGGTGTGTTCAGTCACTGGCTGGGGTGGTGTCTGGCAGTTACGACATGTGGTGTCAGAAGGGGAGTTGCTTTGACTTACACGGTTGGTCCCAGCCATGGGCAGAGGGTCCCGGTCTGGGAAACTGTTGGTGTCTTTTTGTATATATCCGCAAAAAGAACGGGAGGACTTGTGGCACCTTAGAGACTAACCAATTTATTTGAGCATAAGCTTTCATCAGCTACAGCTCACTTCATCGGATGCATTCCGTGGAGCTGTAGCTGACGAAAGCTTATGCTCAAATAAATTGGTTAGTCTCTAAGGTGCCACAAACCCTCCTTTTCTTTTTACGAATACAGACTGACATGGCTGCTCCCCTGAAACCTTTGTATATATTGTTGTCCCTGAACATCAAGCTCTTCGGTACCATCAACACAATCAGAAAATAACTGTGTGCCAGTTTCCATTCTGACAGGCATCTAATGGGTTACCGTGCGGAGGCTTCCTGCAGCTGTGTGGGTTTTATATTCAGTACTGCAGATGAGGAGTCAGACCCACAAGCAACTGCAGGTTTCTTTATTGTGGGCAAGATGGCTTTGAAATGTTTTCACTGAGTGATCTCAAATGAGGAACTCTGATTCAAACAAGAATGAGATAGGTCCATCCACGGCTGTTAGCCAAGATGGTCAGGGCCGCAGCCCCTTACTCCAGGTGTCCCTCTGACTGCCAGGAGCTGGGACTGGACAATGGGATGGATCACTCAATAATGGCCCTGTTCTGTTCATTCCCTCTGGAGCACCTGGCACTGGCCACTGTTGGAAGACAGGACACTGGGCTAACCGGACCATTGGTCTGACCCAGGATGGCCATTCTTATGGTTTTATCGTGTTCTTATGATTCCTGAGGTGGCTGTTTTGTGCTCTGTGTGACAGTTATGATTTAAATAATAAAGTGGGCACTGCTAAGCCTTGCCGGCTCTGCGGGAACGCTCTGTTTTCATGCACTCGCACAACACTGCAATGTTTGGGCTACAAAAACCTACGGGGGAATATTTTGAATCCAAATGCAGAAAAAACAACCAACCAAAGGACCCATTTTCTTAGCATTAAAAACACTAACAACAATCAGGGGAGACAGAAGCTTTTTGTATGAGCTAGAAATGAATCTCCGCTGCAAAGTTTGGATCTAGACTCAAAATTTCCCTAGGGCTTGGGGTACTTGGATTTATCTCGACTGTTGCATTTGGGTTCCCTGGATTGCGGTCTACTGGTCAGAGCCCAGGGCTGGGAGCCGCAGACCGCCCTACATAGGATATTTACCAGGACTGTGTCCCTTTGAAAGAACTCTCTGGGCTGATATCCCATTGCCAGGCAGCACCTTGGAAAATGGGAGTCTACTAGGAAGAGCGCTTCCCTCTGTTTACCCCTGCAAAGCTGGTCACCAGCAAGGGAAACATAGCTCCGCAAGCCAAAGAGGAGACGGAGGCGGCACGGGGGCAGCAGAAGGAACAGAGAGAGAGAGAGAGAACATTTCTGCTCGAAATAGCCTTGTATTTTTAACACAAACATACAGCCCAAAACCAAACAAAAGCCCAGCTCCAGCAAGCAGTCAGGCAAACCACGTCCCCCCAGGAGCACAATGCCGAGTAAATAGGCTGCTGTGGTAGTCAAGCCCGCACTGAACGTCACTGACCGATGGTGACCTTGTGGAAGTCTTGATGCAGAAAAGCCAACCTGTCTGCGAGTGAGCCCTGGGAGGTGAGGGTGGGAGGAGGGGAGAGGGGGTGGCAATTGGGGAGTGGCTTTGAGGCGGAGATTCAGGTCTGAACCAGAACTTGTAACCCCTTTGGCCTCCTCAAATGCACAGGCCTACACACGCTCACTGGCCAGCAAGGGGTAGCTGTGCTCACACGCGCGTGTGCACACACACACTTTATTGCTGTTTTACAGGGAGGAACGTTGCACTTTGCAGACCAAAAGACAAGTCGCTATCCTGAGTACTTTCCAATCCTGCAGACAGGGCGCGCCCTGCTCAGGAGCCAGGGCTTGTGGGCACTTTGAAATGTACTGAAATGGCTCTGTAGGCGTGTCCACTGCAGGATTTATACCCAACGGATTAGCCCAGAGTAGCCCTTTTGATGAATTTCCGAGTGTAGACAAGCCCATGGTGTGTACAGGATCAGACCCTACGTTATACACAAATCGATATTTTTTTTAAGGCTAGAAGGGGCCATTCTGATTATCTCGTCTTACACATGTGCAGGCTCCTAAACCTCTACCATAGAAATGTGCACGCAGACGAGGGAATTACTGTTCCCAACATCATTAGGGAAATCAGACAGTGCCCTGCTGGAGGTCCTCTGGAAGAGTTTTCTCTCCTGGGCAGTGGTGGTGAAGGTTTTACTTAGCTATTGGCAATCTAATGCTGGTGTCAGCTGTACTCCTGAAGCAAAAGCCCCTTTTGCATCTTCTCTGGCCTTGCATAGAACAGGATGCGTTGCCTCGCAGCCTGCTCTGGATTTTCAGGCTGAGGTTTTTCCTCTACACCTCTTCGTCTGTAGTATGGGCAGAAGCCTAGGGTTCTTCTCATCTGTTCTGCATGCTGGGGCAACAGCATGATGTGAGGCTAACGTACCTCACAAAGCCACAGGGCGTGGGAAAGGGTGGCAGAATTTGGAGAAGGACAAACCTGAGTCTGTTCCCTGCAAGCACCGAACATGGCCCCTTTGATCCCACCCCAGTAGAGAATGGATCAGATACTCAGGAGTGCCCTGGGTTGAAAGCTGAGGGTGACCACCTGGCTTGTATTTGAAGGGGTGTCCCATATTTGGTAGCTAATGGCCCATATCCAGTCAAGAGCTAGCAAGAAGGGTTTGATTGGATTTGTTTTCAATCAGTAGCCAGGCCAAGGGTTATACGCTGGTACAAACGTATGCTTTTGGGCCAGGAATAAATCTGTGTGGGCTGGTGTCCCTACTATGGCTGGTTCCTCTCTTTACACAGAGCTTTGTCCCTTATCTGTCTGCCTTTTGCTGAAATGTAGGCGGTTGCCTTGAAGGACGGGAGTGTATAGCAAAATGCTAGAGTTTCCAATATTCATTTGCAATGGGGTGCTTGTGACTTCCCCCTACTTTCCAGCAGGCGGTGCTGTACCCCCTCTGTAGGGTTTGCCCCTCTCCTCATACACAAAAAGCTATGGGCAGTATTTTTATTTGCCCTTTTGTAAAATGGTGAGACATCCCTGTGATTATGGCTCAGTAGAAGATAGCTGCAGATAATCTGATGTGCTCATCAGTACTCTGTGTGTGTGTGCACACATGTACTCTCACACCTATTCCTATGTATAGGTCTATGTAACAATGTGTATGGGTGCATGTGTGAAATACACACACACGGGGCCAGATTTACAAAAGTTCTCTGCACGCAGTGGCCCCTATTGTGACACTTCGGGTGCAGAGTTCTTTTGAAACACGGGCTCTGGTTATGTGTGCTGAGCCCCTCTGAAAAGTGTGGCCATGCTGTATGCATGCGTTCGCACACGTACACACACACACACACACACATACACAGAGGCTTAAAAAGGACCCCTCGCTCCAGACTGCATGTCATGGCCACTCTATTTTGGATAATTCACAGCAACTTCTTGCCCCAGTCACTCTTCCAAAAAACCTTTCGTTCGGTTTCCTTCTGCTTAAGCCCAATGCAGCAGTGCAGCAGTTTGCTTTGTGGGAGCGTGGGTGGGCTTTTTAAGCTATAATTCTCATTTACATGATCCTTTTTTAACTCTGATCTGGCAAATCCCACCCTAGATGCTAACGTGATGAGGTAAAAATAGATGTGTCCGCTGGGTCATACGACAACGCTGCAGAGCCAGCTCCGTGAAAGCTGCCGTTGGCTGGACCTTTTAGACAAGAATCCACAAAGTCTGTCCTTTAGTGAAGATTGTTTGTTGCTTAAAACCTCTAATGGGTGAAATCTGTCAGTGAAGGATACCAACAAAGAGACGTTTTCTTTGCTCAGAATTTAACGTATTTAACCCCACAACAGTTCTGTGCAGTAGATATTATCCCTATTTTACGGGTGGGGAAGTGAGGCCCAGAAACGAAGCCCAAGGTCACACAAGAGCAAGGAATTGAATCCAAATCCCAGGCTAGTGTCCTAACCACCGGCCTGTGCTTCCTCCTAG